CTCTTGCCATCTCATATTTGACCACTTCTAATTTACCTTGATTCATGGACCTAACAGTCACAGTTTCTATGCAATATTGTTGTTTACAACATTGGACTTTACTTCGATCACCAGTCATATCGACACGTGGGTACTGCTTTCACTCTGGGTCCATCTCTTCATTGTTTCTGGAGTTATTTCTCTACTCTTCCTCAGTAGTTAAGGGGTGGATCATGGAATCACATACAGCTTTCCCAGGCAGGGGCATTATCTTGAAAGGTCCACAGGTGCTGATTTTCTTTGTAAATAACTGATGTTCTGGGGCTGAATTTTCCTCTTATGTCTATCATGCCTCGTTCGGACACACCAGTGAAGCAGCTAATGGGGCAAGTGTTATTGTGTATCCACTTCAATTTTTCAAATTTGTATATAACCTTTCAAATTTCAGCCAGAGGTATCTATCCAGCTCATCATGCAGAAGAAACACTCTGAATTATTAAATATACCTCAGGGTGGGGAATCAGTACATCTTCATTTGATATCAGATTCATTCTAACTATCCTCTAGAGCTCAGAAAATTAGGGAGTGACTGCAGGTGCCTATTCCTGGGAGTAAATGTGAGTCAGTAGCAAACACAAGCGTAACTCAGCAGAATACATGACAAATATGAAGCAGAAGCACCATCAATTTATATTCATCAATCAAGTCTCTAAGACAGAGCTCTGAAAGTGACAGGACATCTGGGAATGTGGACATGATCTCTAGCACACGGACATCTTTTCTGAGGGCTGACAGGCAGGTTTTTTGATACGTTTGGAGTCTGGACTGTTACATTTTATCCTGTGATGCTCAGGCTGCTTTTGTAGGTCCCAGGTCCTCTTAGATCTACTGGTATGGGTCCCCAACCTCACAACATGAGCCCCACAAACAAAAAGACTGAGAGATAAGCCAAAGGATTCCAGCCCTCATCTCCTCACCTCCTGACAGAAGACTACAAACTCTATTTAACATTCCTCATGGAAGACAGTGTTGCTTGGTTGACATTAGAAGAAAACCCCACAATCATTTTTTTGGACTAAGGACCCTGTGTCCCAAATAACATCCAGAGATCCTCTTGGATGCCTTCTAGCTCCATGATTTCATGCCAGTCTCTCTCAGCCACTCATCAGCTAAAACACAGGCTAATAGGCATTACTTGTGTATTCTTTTCTGGATATTTTATCATTTTTAAAAAATTTATCAGTTTTATTGAAGTATAATTTATGGACAATAAAATGCGCTCATTTAAATTACAGAGTTCAATGGCAGGGTGAATGGGAGGGGAGTTTCATGGAGAATGGATACGTATATATATGTTTGGTTGAATCCCTTTTCTGTCCAACTGAAACTACCACAACATTGTTAATGGGCTATATTCCAATACAAAATTAAAACTTAAAAAAAATAGAGTTTAATAAGCTTTGACAAATATATACATCTGGGTTACCATCACCACAACAGGTTCCTTGGGTACTTTTGGAGTCACTTTCTAACATCATGATCCCCAGGCAACCAGTGGCCTCATTTCTGTCACTGGGGGTAAGTGCTGCTAGTTCTGGACTTCATAGAAATGGAATTATTCAATAGAAATTATTTCATCTTTATCTTCTTTCATTTAGCACAGCGTTTAGATATGCACCCAAACTAGTGTATATTCATAGTTTGCTTCTTTTCATTGACGAGTATTACATTGTATGGATAAATTACAAGTTAATTTGTCTGTTCATCTGTTGATTGACACTCGCTTCTACTTTTGGGTACTATATATAAATACAACTGCCAAGAACATCTGTGTTCATCCTTGTAGACATGCTTGCATTTCTCTTGGTAACCATCTAGAAGTGCAGTTGCAATAAGTAAACATTTTCTTTTTAAAAATAAAAACAATTAAAAAATATCATTGTCAATCACCTTATTTCCACTTGGATATTTAAAGGGAAGAAATGGCACCATAAATCATAGGTCAACCTGCAACTAAAAAAAGGGCATGTGGGCTTCCTATGGGCAAGCAAAGTATGAAACTCTTGAGGGCCAAGCTTTCTCTGAGCACAGGGAAGGAGCTCAGAACTGGCTCAAGGAGTGGCTTGAAATTAAGGAAATTAAGTGGCAGCTGGTCAGGCTCTAGGTAGGCAGCCAAGGTGGACAACTGTGCAGCCTCTGCATGAGAAGAGCCATGCTCCGGATGGGTCTGGGGCCCCCGAGTTCCAGGCTATTCCAGCTTTGCAAGAAATGCTACTCTGAAACTCAGCTGTTGGTTGCTAAAAATAAGGCTAGAGTGTGACAAAGTTTCTGGCAAGAATTAATATGCAAGAAATCATCAGTATTACATACAAGGAGTTAAATGAGGATAATTTCTTCAATGTTCCAGTCATGCTTTTTCATTTGATTATAATGGTTGCTCATGACTTCAGCTAGATTAAATCCACCATAGTCAACTAAACACATATCAGAGGTAAATAATGCATCACCCTGTCCTGTTTCTCTGCAACAAACTCCTCAATTCCAGAAGGAATTTCCTAATTCAACATCAAAGACTGATTAAATATTTGGTAAAGGAGCTTAAAAAATGATTGTGTGATTTTATTTTACATGTACAAACCAGATAAAAAATAAATAAAAACTTCCTCTGGGTGCTTAAAGTTTGTAGTCAAATCTTCTAAAAGGTAGAGAATAGGAGAAATAATGAACCACTTCAGAGTTCATGAAAAAATTAAAATCTCCTGTCTCAAAATTTCACAATTAAGCTATGAAGTCACTAATCATCCTGCAGTTACTAACCAATCATCGAGCCAAGGGCTACATGTTCATAGTCCTTCATAGTCTCCCTTTTCAATTTAATATGTAAGGAAGAACAGAAATTAGAAAATACAAATTTACAGAGAAGAAAAAATAAGGGAAATTTTATAAGCATTTTCCAAGGCATTTGGCCAAACTAAAACTACTACATGTTTTTGGCTCTCACAGCTTATAATGGGGATTTAAATAGTGTTTCCTTACGGCATGGACAAGGTGGGCAAAGGAGTGAATTGGCCTATTTTCAGTTTGGTTGGTAACTCAGCACATGGCCTGCCCCAGCAGAACCTCCTGACAGAGGACAAAGCATGAGGTACAGAGGCCGCCAGCCCAGAGAGTCCTGGCAGCTCTGTGGTCTGAGCTAGCTTAGAAGTAACGTGCACTGAAGCAGGAACTCTGGAGCCCTAATTTGCCCGGGACAGCAAATTAATCACTGTCTTTGGTTTCTCATTTGTGAAATGAATAGGCACCTTTCCTATCTGAAATCTGGAGGCTGGGCCCAGGCCTCTCACTCCTAGACCACCTGCTCAACACCCCGTCCTGGGGCTTCCTCTTTCTAGATGGTGACGGCTCTTCAGCAACACACAGGCTGTCAGAATTGGTGCTACTTGGTGGCTGTCTGGTCCAGCCAGGTCTTGGAAAGAAAGGCCCAGAGGATAGTTCTATGCTTCCAAATTTTACCTTTGGAAAATAACAAATAATGTACTAAAGAAACACCTGCAAAGAACCTAGATGCAGATCAATCTGATACACATATCTGTCTGCCAACAACTCCCATTACCAGGTGGCTTCCAAAACATCCTTTCGAAAATTGGCAGATGGTACCTGAAGACTTCCAGGTCCTGGTCTCCTCACAGCTGAAGGAGGCAGTACCAGCTCTCACAGCTCCAACAGGAAGACATCAGATGCACGCTTGGGCTGAAATGACCAGCCAATCCAAGTGCCACTACCTTCATTTTTTTTTTTTTTTAAAGAGAATTCAGCTCCTGCCAAAGAGAGTTTCAGCCACAAGGATGCACCTGGAGACCTCTGACCACAAGATGCGAGGCTTCCACACCCCCACCCCCATCCCAGGCCCTCCGCAGCAGACACACTAAGGCCTATGACAGAAGTCTCTGGAAGCACCTCCTGATGTCCCGGCTGCCTCTGCCTGCCTTGCAGACCTGTGCTCACCCAGGAACCTCCCTGCACTTGGACTGAAACTTGAATTAGGATTCATTCTCTCAACCTTTCCGGGCTCCTTCCCCAACTCTCCTGATAACATTTTGTACTTTTAGCCCCATCTTGGCACCTGCCTCTCAGAGGTCCAAACAACGTATCATTCATTCACTTGAGGAATGTTGACTGAGTGCCTATAACAGTCCTGGGCTTCCCAGGTGGCGCTAGTGGTGAAACTCGGCTGCCAGTGCAGGACACATAAGAGATGTGGGTTCAATTCTGGGTCAGGAAGATCCCCTGGAGGAGAGCAAGGTGACCCACTCCAGTATTCTTTCCTGGAAAATTCCATGGACAGAGGAGCCTGGTGGGCTACACAGTCCATGGGGTTGGCAAGAGTTGGACATGACTGAAGTGACTATGCACGCACATACAATGTTTCTGGCACTTGTCCATAGCCCTGGGGAGAAGGGTACAGAACTGCAAGGCCACACATTCCCAGCCCTCCCTCTCGGGATCATGAACTGCTTCCTCCCTTTGCCTTTCACCATGTGCTGAGAGCAGATAACAGCCTCAGGTCATTCACTTTACTAATGGATTGCTTCATGGTTAAGGAAACTGTTGCCAGGGGCTTCCCCCACTGGGCCAGCCTTTTTTACTCTAAAACTCATGTTTTTTTACCATTAGGCTATGATAACCCAGTTTGGCTGACAGCTCTGAGCACTTTCTTTTCTGGCTCATGAGGGCCAGGAAAACAAGTTACAGAGGGAGACTGTATTTCAGAGCATTCACAGTCCTACACAGGTTAGGGGTGATGCTGCTTAACTCATACAGAAGGGGAGGTCCCTTGTTCAGTGTGAATTTCTAGCTCATCTTCACTATGTCAAGAAGACAGAGAGGATAGACAAAGCCTCAGTTTCCTGATCTGTATCACCTCAGCTCAGCTCTGGCAAATGATAGAAGGTGGCTGCATATACCCGAAGCTTTCCCCAGAGGCCACCAGGCCCACTGGACGGTCAGCCACACCAGCCCACCTGTCATCCAAGAGCAGCCTTCTGAACACTGATGCAAATTCATACCATGATTTCCAAGGTCAGCTATGGTGTCCTCCACATTTGACCCAAGTGTGCGGAGATCTAGGGAAGGAATGGGCTGAGACTCAGGCAGGTTGTCTGAAGCTGGGTCATCAAATTCCTGGCAAAAAGTAATGAACAATTCATGAGAAGCTGATCAGAGGAAACAGCAATATCACAAGTGAAACAATATTCTTGTTTAGAAAATGATTTGGAAACAAAAGCCTACCTAATCCTCTCCCTTAAACATGATAACATTTTCAAATCTTAGGAAGGCAGCTTGGGATGAGAGAAACAACTTTGAATTAACTTGGCAGGTGACCTTGGGCAAAGCACGTAACCTCTCTAGGCCTGAGTGTCAGGGTCATGGTGAGGGTGAGGCAGGTGGGACGCCCAGGGCGCACATGGAAGGAAGTACTGACTTGCAGCATTGGCTGCTGAGGATGAGGATCTCCTTCCATTGTGCACCCAGGCCTCACGCTCCCCGCAGCCTAGTCCAGCCCTGCTCAGCTTCCTCATCTCAAGACTTCAGGTGCTGGCTTTGATAATGTTCATGCTCTCTTCCAGCTTTTACAGCTCTGTGATTTTATGAATTTCAGTTCCCTAAAAGAAAGAGATCTAAGAGGTGACATAAGAGTTTATACTTCAAAAAAAAAAATGTTAAACTTCTCAAATATATCAACAGGCATTTCAGCTAATCACTGTGTCTATGTGTGTGTGTGTGTGTGTGTGTGTGTGTGTGTGTGTGTGTGTGTGTACCACCCAGACCTAATGCTGAATTGACCTGTTTTCCAGGATAAATGGTTTTCATGGAGAACTAGTCCAAGAGCACCTTCTTATCAAAAGGAGAAAGTTCAAACTAATCCTAAATAAATAAGTAAAACACAGCTATGCGACACTGTGATGTGGCATCTGTGGAAATATAGTCATAAATATTTTTAAGAAAAATAGTCCATTTTTTATACTGTATAATAATTGTTGCAGGAGGTGAAACGGGCTCCAAATTTCAAAGGATCACCAATAATGCAAAAAAAACAGAGACTGTGTGAAACGTGCCTTTGCGTCTACTTCAGAAATGTTTTGAAAACAAGTATTTGAATTCTCAATTGACTTCGATTTCCTGAGGTTCTCTTTGAAGAGAACTGTTATAATTGTCTTAGAAGGAGCAGGACATGACCTGCTCTTTCATCCCCAAGACTATTTCACATTTTCAGGCCTGACCTGCCACACTCTTCACAAAAACCTTCACACCTGCATATATCCCAGGGTAAAAGCAAGACTGGGCTTAGTGTGTACATCGCGGTATCTAGTTGCTTTAAGCTACAATCCTTTAAGAAATGGTGCCAACATGATTCCACAGTCAACTACACTTCAAGATTTCAAAGCCCAAATCCAGCAGAGCAGAAAATGCCTGCCAGAGAAAAAGGCCCCGTCAGTCAGGATCTGAAAAACAAAGCAAGCCACTCTCCTAAACGCCTCAAAGAATTTTTATAATGTTTAACGGGTGACACAACCAACCTGTGTCTCTCTGAGCTTTGGTTCTATCTCCAGCTACTGCTTTTGAAATATAATGAGGTGTGCTTCAGCTCGCCAGACAGAAGCAAGAGGACTAGAGAACAGAGCCCAGTGACAGGAGGAAGAAATTCAACCACAAATGCGCATTTGGGGAAAGACGGGGGGGGGTGCCTCTTCATTCCTTCTTCCTTTTTAATTATGTTTTTCTTTAGCTTCTTGCACCTGAATGATCCAACTTATTTCTCACACTATACTTCATCCTTTTCAGCTCACTGATGCCTCTCCACATGTCTAGACCCTTTAGTCCATCTGCAAAGTGTTCAGCTCTCTGTCCTTGGGTCTCTGAATATGTTACACCTGCCTCACTCCTGGGCTTCCCTACTGGTTCAGTCAGTAAAGAATCTGCCTGAAATGCTGGAGACTATGAATGTGATCAAAATGGTCTCCACTCTGCCTGGCCTCCTCTCTCCATCCTCCTCCAGGGCGAACAAGAACCTTCGCTCAGGCTGCCTCTCCTTTTCTTCCATTCCCATTAAATGTTCTGTTTTTCCTAAAGAGATAATAAGAAGATCTGCTCATCATGGCTTTCCCAGATCCTCCTCCATCTGAAGCTGCTTTCAAGAACCCAATTTCTGTTCATTACTAATCAGTGTGATCCTGGCCCAGCAGCATCCGAATCACCAGAGAGTTTGTTAGAAATGCAGTATCTCAGGCCCCACTCCAGACAAGGCAAGTCAGAATCTGCATTTCAAAAAGACCAACAGGTGATTCAGGTGCATTTTGAAGTTTGAGAAGTGCTGCTAGAAGCCATAAGAATTTGGAGAAGGGCCAGCTGACTGTGGAGCTGAGCGGTCAAAGATGGTTCTCCTGAAGAAGACGTGACATTTGAAAGAGGGAGAGTGGGATGGTACCAACGGGCCAGAGGGAAGCAGCTGATTGGCACAAAAGAAGAGAGACCTGGGGTGCTGAGCGACACCATGCGCTGGGCGCAATCAGCCCTGGGCGCAATCAGCACTTCCTGTCCTCATCAGTATGCAGCTGAGGAAAGCTGCTTCTGAAAAGCTCAGGACCAAAGACGTTGTTGAACTGAATTCTACCAACCAAAGAATGAACCACCACTGTCTCTGACCAAGACAGCCGCAGGCACCTCCCTCCTGCCTCTGCTACTTGCTGATGGATGGGGAGGGAATTGGGAGAAACTCGGCAGACACTGTGGAGGTTATGAGTTGGGACTCCATAAAATCTGTGAAGCCTCACATTCCTCATCTGAACTGAGCCAAGATCTGGAATCCCATGTAGGGTAATACAGAGTTAATAAAATCTTAAGTGACTTTAGGATCCTCCAAGGGCCCTGATTTTTGTAGGATGAATAGGACCTCATATTGTACAGTTGCTTTGCACTGGTAATGATCATATCAGAAATTAAAAACAACACAAAAATGATGATTTTGAAGGCCCATGAAGAAAAGTACAGAAGTTAAGAAGTTATCCAACACTAAAATGTAAGATTATACTTGAAACTATGTTTTTATTTACCATATGCTAACTTCAATATGGTTAGAATAAAGTTATTTAGGCTTTATAATACAAAATGTTACCATATCTGTACTTCTCAATTTCCAGTCTCTGGGGGTAAAATCCCTTAGAAGCAGGGGACTCTGAGCATTCCAGAAAAAAAAAAAAAAACAAAACGAAAAAAACCCTCCCAACCCCCAGCTTCCCTGAGAACCAGGGTTGGGATAAAGAAGTACCAGCGCCCCCATGTTGTCTGCTGAGGGTTCAATTGATAGAGACTCCTAAAATCAGAGAAGGCTGGGCCCCTATCTGCTCTAGCTTTGGGTTTTCAGAACTCGAGAGTATTCACAACCACTAAGTCATCGAGAAAGGTGACTCCTCAGTCAGAGAGCAGCAGAAAACAATGTTCCCAGGCTCTGCTTTGTCTGCAAGTGAGCTCCAGTAGGGGCTCCTGCACACCCCAGATTCCAAGTCCTCTGCTGACTGAGCTACAGTAGTAGAAAGAGTGTCTGCAGGCCTGGGGATCACCCCCACAACTTCAGGGGGCCTAGCCCTTCCTGCTAAAGGAAAGACTGTCCCTCAGATGCAGGAGTCACCAACGAACAAATAACCAGAATTTGAAACAGTGAACTTCTCCCCAAAAATGACTCCTTCTCAAGTTACTTTTACCAAAAGAGCTGCAAGGTTGGTGTTGATATCCATTATCCAAATACAACCCTGAAGAAAAACTACGTAAGTATCAAAGCCCACATCAAGGTCAATGAAGATATGTTTAACCGTTAGGGAATGGTATTTGCTATTCAGGTGCTTGGGATGCAGAGGACATGAATCTGGGGTGCATTTCATGTGAGTCTGCAACTTCATTTATTATTGAATATCTAGGGTAATTCGCCAAAGGAGTTATTAACACAATGTATGATGATATGGATGGGAGATAGAAAATAAAGAGGGAAAGAACAAAAAATAAGACAAAAAGAACAATGGACTAGAGAAGTAAAGCATGGCTGAAATTAAAATTAGATAGACACATATCTGTTCTACAAAGTCATACCTTTAACTCAGCTGTTCATTCCATCCTGATGAAGTCACCCTGAAACAGCAGGCACTTAGGACAGCTGCTCTGAAATAGTGTTGTCTCTAACTTTTGGCCTACAGTTAGCACTCTAAACAAATCTCAGTCCATCCTGGAATTGAGCAAAGTTGGTCTGGATGGTTTTTTTTTTCCCTACCTTGTCCCTTTTCCTACCCAACTGGCCCTATGAATCTGAAGAACCCGGGCAAGAAAAGGTCTTCTGTAAAATTTAAAACAGAAGCACACTCACGTGGAGCACATCCACAGTCTGCCGCTGGAAGTTCCGAGACCTCAGTTCCTGCATCCGTTTGTTGTTTTCTTCATATTTTTCTTCCACAAGCTTTCTGCATAAAGTGAACATAGGCAAAAACCTGCAATTTGCTAAGATGAGATCTATGTTTCATAAGTAAATGTGATCCCTGTTTCAACAGGCAGACTAGGGTGTTGGGCAGCCAGCCTGCAGTCTCTCTCTTAAGGGATGAGCATGGCACAGCCTCAGTGGGTTCTCCTTTGAAGCATGCAGGATGCCAGCTCCTCATTCCCCCAGGACTCAGTGCAGCAGGGAGTGCCAGCCCTGTGGGCGCTGGCCTGTGCTGACAGGGGTATGTCTCAGATGCCCGACTGAGAGAAGAACACATACCAATAACTAGGTAATAGCGCCATAGACATGGAAAATAGATCAACATTTCAAAGAATTTATGGAAAAGAATATGAGAGCCACTGTGAAGAGGAATTTTTCTTGGACATTTCCAGTTTCCTCTACAACAGGAATTGAATTTACTAGACCTGTTGTTAAATTGGAGGAAAGATTTGAGTTCTTGTGATTACTTGTGCCCTAATTTATACTTAGATTTCTTGAAAAATCACTGAACATCTCTGTCGTCAAATTTTCTTGTCTTTAAAGTGGGTGAGTATATTATAACCCTCATGACAATGAAGTCATTTGCCAGCTAACACTCATCCTTTCTTGAATCCTAGAAACAATAATCAAAACAACGCTGATGTAATTCATTCATAAAATCGAGAACAAACTTTATTTAACAAATTATTGCCTTTAATAACAAAAATATAAAATGTCACAAGGAAGATCAATGACTTTTTTGCATATTAAAGAAGTTTTAACCTGAGAAATAATTTGTAATGTGCAAGTTATTAATTTGCTTTTTTAAACTTTTACTGTCAGAGATTTAATTTTCCTTTCACCCTCAACCAATGACCCAAACCATGGTACCCTGGAAATATCCACATTCCTGAGGTGTTAGATCTGGGGCTATGAGTTGATGTAACTGTTCAAACAATATTCATGAATACATTTTCTCAACCAAATCCACACTTAGTGGTATACTGGATTGTTCATATCTTCCAGCTGAACACTGAATAATATCACATTGATACTTTTAAAGGGCACTGTTGGAACATTTACACCATAGAATCAGCAAACAAATTATTAATAGTAGCTACTCCTCTGGCCCCCACAGGCCCAGAGGCTTCATCAGCACACTTCTGCCCATGAAGCACTGTGACAGAAATCTTTTCTCATATTTATTAAAGAAAACATTTGACAAGAGGAAGTGGTCTCTCAGGTTCTTACATGCTTCATCATGATAGACACTTTAAGTACAAGGACATCTTGAATCATTTTCCAGATATAATGTTGCTGTTGTTCTGTTAGTAAGTCATGTCCGACTCCTTGCAGACTGAACTATGCCAGGCTCCCTTGTCCTCAGTCTCCCAGAGTTTGCTCAAATTCACGTCTGCTGAGTCAGTGATGTGATCTAACCATCTCATCCTCTGCTGCTGTCTTCTCTTTCTGCCTTCAATCGTTTCCAACATCAGAGTCAGCTCTTTGCTTCAGGTGGCCAAACTACTGGAGCTTCAGCTTCAGCATAAGTCTTTCCAATGAATATTCAGGGTTGATTTCCTTTAGGATTGACTGGTTTGGTCTCCTTGCTGTCAAAGGGACTCTGAAAAGTCTTCTCCAGCACCACAATGCAAAAGCCTCAGTTCTTCAGTGTTCAGCCTTCATTATGGTCCAACTCTCACATCCGTACATGATTACTAGAAAAACCATTGCTTTGACTATATGGACCTTTGGCAACAAACTGATGTTTCTGCTTTTTAATATTCTAGGTTTGTTATAGCTTTCCTTCCAAGGAACAAACTTCTTTGAATTTCATGGCTGCAGTCACCATCTGTAGTGATTTTGAAACCCAAGAAAATAAAATCTGTCACTGCTTCCACTTTTTCTCATCTATTTGCCATGAATTGATTGGACCAGATGCCATGATATTGTTTCTTTAATGTTGAGTTTTAAGTCAGCTTTTTCACTTTCCTCTTTTCCCCTCATTAAGAGGTCAGATACATTAACAAAGTCATAACATGGGCAGATTTTATTTTCAGGCCTTTTTGTCTCTCTAGTTCTTGGTTGGGGCTTCTAAGCTACCAAAAAAAAAAAAAATGGCAGAGGAAGAAAGAACAAAAATCAGTCAATTGGGTCACTTAGCAGCTGAAAAATCAGTCTTTGAGAAATTGGGAGTTTGGGGTTCTTTGGAAGCACCCTTTCATGTGTAAACTCCGAACACTAGTGATCTCATACAAGCAGCACTGTCCCCAGACTGCAAAGGGCTTCACTTCACAGAACAGAGCTGCTTCCAGTCTTCTCTCTCAGTTCAGTTCAGATCAGTCACTCAGTCATGTCTGACATTTTGCGACCCCATGGACCGCAGCACGCCAGGCCTCCCTGTCCATCACCGACTCCTGGAGCCTCCATTGAGTCAGTGATGCCATCCAACCATCTCATCCTCTGTCGTCCCCTTCTCCTCCTGCCTTCCATCTTTTCCAGCTTCAGGGTCTTTTCCAAGGAGTCAGTTCTTTGCATCAGGTGGCCACAGTATTGGAGCTTCAGCATCAATCTTCAGTCTTGTCTCAAGAGACAACAGTTCCCTGCAGGGACATTCTTCTCCCTACAGAGCAGCCAGGACTCCAGGCAGAGGGGGTTTAGCAAACACCTGGAGAGTATGGACAGAACAGTGAGGCCACCTCACAGGGCTATGTAAAGAAGGTATCAGCAAAATGGAGGCTTTGTCTAGAGGTGGCTGTTGTATTTTCATTCCTAATAACTTCCCTGATAGTCCATCGCTCTTTTCACATAAGACTGAAAGCTTGATATTAATAGTGTCTGACATCTAATCACCATATTTTGAGCAAATGAGTGAAAGAAAAAATTGACAAATATATAAGAATGTACATTTTAATTTTCTCTTGTGGTTTCTGCTTTTCTTTAGCACATTCTTTTAGAGCCCTGAGAGGCAGCCTTCACTAAGGGAAGGTCACTTACTTCAGCTTCCTGGCCTCCTCATCAGCTGCCTGGACCTTCCTCACCCGCATCCTCTCTCTTGGTGTCATCTTCTGCACCTCAGACAGTGCCCGTAGGGTCTGCAGGTGAATCTTTTTTTGCCTATAAGAATAAAGATTCCCACATGCAACCCATCCCAAACATGCTCAGAAAAATTAAACAAGTATTTTACAGAAGTATCATTACACTATTGAGAAGGGAAAAAGAGCTCAAGACTTGCCAAGCAAAAACTAATAAACTCTGGGTAGCTAATTAGCCAAGCAGGACTGTGGTTAATTGGCAATAGTTTTTAAATTAGATTTCTGTTTAAAAGCAAATTATGTACTTTGCAAATTTCTGCTAATTTCACTGCCTATGACTGATTTTCATACTGTAAGATAAATTAGGATCTTGACTATTAAGGAGTAAATAACGATGTGGATAGGACACAAATTTAGAATTAGACAGGGTTGGAATCCCATCTCTCCCATTCATTAGTTCTGCATCCTTGAGCAAGTTACTGAACCTCTCTGAACCTCAGTTTTCTCATCTATAAAGGATGGGCTATCATGAGTATTATATGAGATAATGTATATATAGTGCCTGACACATAAAAGTATCCCAAAATGGTGCTATTATAATGTGCATGCTCAGTTGCATTCAACTCTTTGCAACCCCATGGACTGTAGCCTGCCAGGCTCCTCTGTCCATGGGGTTTTCCAGGCAAAAATACTGGAGTGGGTTGCCATTTCCTCCTCCGGGAGATCTTCCCAATCCAGGGATCATACCTGTGTCTCCTGCAGCTTCTGCACTGGCAGACAAATTCTTTACCACTGAGCCACCTGGGAAGCCCCAGTACTGTAATAGCTAAATGTTATTGAATATGCTCTGTCTTCTAGGCTTCACACAGTAGATATTTTTTAATATTTTATTTATTTTTTTAATTGGAAGAAAACTGCTTTACACTGTTGTGTTGGTTTCTGCCATAGAGCAATGCAAATCAGTCATAAATATATATATATGTATATATCTCCTCCCTCATAAGCCTCCCTCCCCTCCCCTATCCCACCCCTCTAGGTAATCACAGAGTGATACACTGGGCATCTTATGTTATATAGTGGCAGCTTCCCACTAGCTATTTATTTTACACAATAGAGTTGTATATATGTCAATGTGACCTTCTTAATTCATTCCACCCTCTCTTTCCCTTGCTGTGTCCACAACTCCATTCTCTCTGTTTGTGTCTCCTCTTCTTCCCTGAAAATAGGTTCATCAATACAATTTTTCCAGATTTCATATATATGTGTTAATATACAATATTGTTTTTCTCTTTCTAACTTCACTCTATATAACAAGTTCTAGGTTCATCCACCTCACTAGAACGGACTCAAATTCCTTCTTCTTATGGCTGAGTAATATATATATATATACCACATCTTTCTCACCCATTCATCTGTCAGTAGACATCTAACTTGCTTCCATGTACTGGCTATTATAAATAGGGTTTCAATGAACTTTGTGGTACATGTATCCTTTTGAATTGTGGTTTTCTCAGGGTATATGCTCAGTAGTGGGGTTGCTGGGTCATATGGCAGATTTATTCCTAGGTTTTTTTTTTTTATTTTAAAGAACCTTCACACTGTTCTACATAATGGCTGTAGCAATTTACATTCCTTCCAACAGTGTAAGAAGGTTCCCTTTTCTCCACAAACTCCCCAGCATTTGTTGTTTGTAGATTTTTTGATGATAGCCACGCTGGTTGGTGTGAGGTGATACTTCATTGTGATTTTGATTTGCATTTCTCTAATAATGAGTGATGTTGAACATCTTTTCATGTGTTTATTGGCCATCTTTATGTCTTTTTTGGAAAAAATCTGTTTGGGTCTTCTACTCATTTTTTGATTGCATCGTTTTTCTGATTTTGAGCTGTATGAACTACTTATATATTTTGGAAATTAATTGTCAGCTGTTTCATTTGCAATTACTTTCTCCCCTTCTGAGGGTTGTCTTTTCATCCTGTTTATTGTTTACTTTGCCATGCAAAAGCTTTTAAGTTTAATTAGGTTCCACTTGCTTATTTTTGTTTTTATTTTCATTACTCAAGGAGGTGAGTGAGAGATCTTGCTGCAATTTATGTCAAAGAGTATTTCAACACTATGGTTTCTTCTAAGAGCCTATGTTTTCTTCTAAGAGTTTTATAGTTTCTGGGCTTACATTTAAGTCTTTAATCCATTTTGAGTTTATTTTTGTGTATGGTGTTAGGAAGTGTTCTAATTTATGTGTAGCTATCCAGTTTTCCCAGCACCATTTTTTGAAAAGGCTGTCTTCTCTCCATTGTATATTCTTGCCTTCTTTGTCAAGGATAATGTGTCCGTATGTGTGAGGGTTTATCTCTGCAATTTCTATCTTGTTCCATTGTTTTTTATTTCTGGTTTTGTGCCAGTACCATACTGTACTGATGACTGTGGCTTTGCAGTATAGTCTGAAGTCAGGAAGGTTGATTCCTCCAACTCCATTTTTCTTTCTCAAGAATTTCTTTGGATATTTGGAGTCTTTTCTGTTCCCATACAAAGTATAACATTTTTTCTTCTAGATGTGTGGATAATGCCCTTGGTAATTTGATAGAAATTGCATTGAATCTGTAGATTGTTTCGGGAAAAGTATAGTTATTTTCTCAATATTGATTCTTCCAATCCAAGAACATAGTATACCTCTCCATTGTGTCATCATTGATTTTGTTCATCCATGTCTTATAGTTTTCTGCAAACAGGTCTTTTGTCTCTATAGGTAGGCTTATTCCTAGACATTTTATTTGAATGCAAGGGATTTCTTTGTATTAATTTTGTACCCTGAAACTTTACTAAATTCACTGACTAGTGCTAGTAATTTTCTGGTGGCATCTTTAGGATTTTCTATGTATAGCATCATGTCATCTGCAAACAGTGAGAGTTTTATTTCTTCTTTTCCAATCTAGATTCCTTTTATTTCTTTTTCTTCTCTGATTGCTGTGGCTAGGACTTCCAAAACTATATTGAATTAACAGTGATGAGCATGGGCATTCATGTCTTTTTCCTGATCTAGAGGAAAGGCTTTCAATTTTTCACCATTGAGAATAATGTTTGCTGTGGGTTTGATGTATATCACCCTTATTATGCTGAGGTAAATTCCTCCTATGCCAATTTTCTGGAGAGTTTTTTTTTTTAATCATTAAGGTGTGTTGAATTTTGTCTAAAGCTTTCTCTGCATCTATTGAGATGACCATATGGTTTTTATCTTTCAATTTGTTAATATGGTATATCATATTGATTCATTTGTGTGTACTGAAGAATCCTCGTATCTCTGAGATAAACCCCACTTGATCACGATGTATGAATACTTTTAAAGTGTTGTTGGATTCTGTTTGCTAGAACTTGGCTGAGGATTTTGCATCTATGTTCATCAGAAATTTTGGCCTGTGATTTCCTTTTCTTGTGACGTCTATGTCTGATTTTGGTATCAGGGCGATGGTGGCCTTGAAGAATGAGTTTCTGAGTTTTCCTCCCTCTGCAGTTTTTTTTGAAAGAGTTTGAGCAGGATATGTGTTAGTTCTTCTCTAGACTTTTGATAAAATTTACCTTCAAGCCATCTGGCCCAGGAAATTTGCTTGTCAGAAGATTTTTTTTTTAATCAGAGTTTCAATTTCAGCGCTTATGATTGGTCTGTGCATATTTTCTATTTCTTCCTGGTTCAGTCTTGGAAGGTTATACTTCTCTCAGAATTTGTCCATTTCTTCCAAGTTGTCCATTTTATTGACATATAGTTGATCATAGTAGGCTCTTATGATCCTTTGTGTTTCTGTGTTTTCCATTGTAAACTCTTTCTCACTTCGCATTTTATTGATTTGAGTCTTCTCCCTTTTTTACTGGTGAGTCTGGCTAATGGTTTGTCAATTTTGTTTATCTTTGGAATGAAACAGCTTTTAGTTTTATTGATCTTTGCTATTATTTTCTTCATTTCTTTTTCATTTATTTCTGCTCTTGTTGTTCACTCAGTCGTGTCTGACTCTGTGACCCCATGGACTGCAGCATGCCAGGATTCCCTGTCCTTCACTGTCTCCTAGAGTTTGCTCAAACTCATGTCCATTGAGTCCAAGATGCTCCCTTCTCCTCCTGCCCTCTATCTTTCCCTGCCCTTAGTATATCTGCTCTGATCTTTATGATTTCCTTCCCTCTACTAAATTTGGGGGCGTTTTGCTCTTCTTTTTCTTGTTGCTTTAGGTTAAGGCCAGGTTGTTTATTTGATGTTTTTCTTGTTTTCCAAGGTAGGATTGTATAGCTACAGACCTCCCTCTTAACACTGCTTTTACTGTGTCCCATAGGTTTTCAGTTGTTCTGTTCTCATTGTCATTTGTTTCTAGCTATTTTCAAAATTTCCTCTTTGATTTCTTCAGTGACCTCTTGGTTATCTAGAAGTGTACTGTTTAGCCTCCATGTGTTTGTGTTTTTTACATTTCCTGCCCCCCTGTAATTGATATGTAATCTTATAGCATTATGGTTAGAAAGAATGCCTTCTATAGGATTAGTTTTCTTAAATTTACCAAGGCTCGATTTGTGACCCAAGAAATAATTTACCCCAGAGAATGTTCCAGATTAAAAAAACGTATTCTACTGCTTTTCAATGGAATGTCCTATAAGATATCAGTTAGGTGTACTGGTCCAATGTGTCATTTAAGGCTTGTGTTTACTTATTAATTGTCTGTTTTGATAATCTGTCCATTGGTGTCAGTGGAGTGTTCAAGTCCCCCACTATTATTGTGTTACTGATTATTTCCTCTTTTATAACTGCTACCATTTGCCTTATGTATTGACGTGCTCCTACGTTGGGTGCATATATATTTATAATTGTTATAATTTCTTTTTGGATTGATCTCTTGATCCCTTTATTATTATGTAGTGTCCTTCTTTGTCTCTTTCTTTTGATTTCCATTTGGAATATCTTTTTCCAGCCCCTCACTTTCAGTATGTATGTGTCCCTAGGTTTGAAATTGGTCTCTTGTAGATAGATGGCAACCCACCCCAGTGCTCTTGCCTGGAAAATCCCATGGACGGAGGAGCCTGGTGGGCTGCAGTCCATGGGGACGCTAA